GATCTTCCAATGGGTCGCTTACTCAAAATCTCAAACTCCAGTCTAATACCTTTGTTAAGCGATGGTCGGCTCTTCATGCAACGTGTCCTGTTCACTGACATGTCAGCTTTTTCGCTCATGTAACGGCATCAAGACAGGCTTCTGTTTGTATTCTTATCCATTCGTTATCTTCCCATTTCTTCTGGTTATTCCCAAGGGACACGTGTCTGTAATTCTAACCGATAATGTCGAAAACTAACTTTAGTAAATAAACTCAAAACATCATGAGTATCTTTGAATATATTAACATACGTAAATATATGTCGTAAATATATTATTCAATGGATTATATAATAGTACTGTCTCCTATAAAAGTGGAAGCAATATGAATCAGTTGTCACCGCGATTTTTAGCGATCCTTGTATCATCAAAACCTTTCAACATTCCTCAACCTTGTATCTTCATGGCGAATGCAGTTCAAGAGCTAAGAATTATACCATTGACGAAATACGCAAATAAGTCATAGGAAAGGAAAAATAATTTATGTGCCGTTTGTGCATCGCTTGAAGTCCCTTAGAAAAAAATAGTATCCCGGTTGTAAAATTCTGTAGCTGAAAAGGCTGATATGAATTATGAAAACTTCTGAAAACTGAATTAAACTATAACCTCTGCATTATGACACAGATGCTTTATATTTTTCGTGGCGTATTGACAGCGTCAAAGAGATCGGCTTCGAAATGTAGGGATGTTGGAGTGAATTCCACGGGAAAGCAATTTTTGTCTTAACCACGAATTTCTTTGAGTCAGCAATTGACCACGTGTTGCTTCAGACTGGAGTTGTTCATTTTGTACAGCCCCAGAGTAAGAACCGAGAAGTTCTGGATTCAAGCCCCGGACGGGCCACTCGCCTGTCTTGCTTCCAATGTTGATAAATGAGTAACAGTCTGTCGGCAAAACAGGAAACAATAGATTACGTTTGTCATATTACTGATATCAACTTTGCTTAGAAAAAATGGTACATAAAAAGAAAAGTGGTCACAAAGTGTAAGGAAAACCGACATTCCATCGCTTAAAAAATTTCCATTTCGCTTTCTTTGCTTTTACAACTATTACTCACGCTTAATAAAAATAACTATCATGAATTCGCTAGCAAAATGGAAGCATTCAATACTGCCGGTTAGAACAACATCCTCCTGTCAGTACACCAAATTTACATGGCATAGCGCACCGTCCTCATGTTGCTAGCAGCCTAGAGGACCACGGCTCTATGCTATTTCAGGCGCATAGTATTTAAGTAAGATATGTGAGTGCAAAACACCGTCACTTCGTTGGGTCGAACAAAAACATGATCCAGACCAACGAACATACTTTAATCGGTAGGTATATATACCAAAAATAAATTCCTTCACTGGTTTGCTGGCAAACTGCTAGTTTTCAATACCGGCGGTAAGAACAATATTATCCTGCCACTTCCTAATAGAATATTACCTACATTTTATTGCCAGTTTCAGGATGAAACACTTTGAAGATCTTCCTCAACAACATTCTCCTGGGCAAACCGAAGAACGAAACAAAAATTTAGATTCAAACGTATGATGTCAAATATTTTGTCACTGGAACCACATTCCCAGTGAGTCAAGTCCTGCCTTTTCTGATGAGGAACCTGTCCATTACAATCAGGCGAGTACGAACTTGTTTATACATATACAAACAGCATTCCCCTTAATAACCTGACGCTAGACAGATGAGAGTGGAGACAGAACTTTGGTATTAATCAACATGAGCAGAACGATGGAACAGGTCTACACATCGCAAACAACGCGTACATGTTTTAGCGTATCTGGCATCCGTGTAATATCATTCGCAGGAAGGTGATATCAAAAACAAACAAATGCAAATAATACAACCAAATTTCAACTGCAAACAAAGCGTTATAACAAACTCATAAACAAAATAAATAAAACAACCCCGATGTTCTAGGGTAGCTTCCCAGAGTTTCAGCTTCTGATCACAAAGAAACTACCGGTATAAGATCAAATTGAAAATTTTTACCACCCGAGGAAAAATCTGTATAAATTGAAGTCACTTACGTATAAAGTTTCATGTAAAGAGATTTTTTCATTCCTTCTCCAGCGTATAGCAGCTCCAGACCATTTTTCAGATCGCCCCAAATTTCGTCAAGGCTGGTCTGATGCTTAGCACTACTCGTCATCGCCATGACATCACGTCCGTCCCGTTTTAAAATATCTTTCGATAACTAAACACAATGACTTAGCTTAAACATAATGATGCCATGAACTGCATAGTAGACAAGACATTATGAACGAGAAAAAAGAAACAACCAAGAAGTTTGCAGCACAAAAACTGAACTCCGGTCAATCGATTTATGACCTTATAAAAGCCTCGAATCTACTTTCTGCAGTATATTTAACGCATTGTTGAAAACTCTAGTCAAAGTTAATTTTGCTGTAAATAATGAAAATGTCCTGATCAAACCGCTGCATAACGCAAAATAAAGCACATATTACGCAACTTTAATGGCGTGGTTAGTTTTCTCATTTTAAGAGTACACAAAATTACAAATTGGACAGGCTACGTTTTGACTGCAAAACTCTTATAGAAATATTTCACCAATAACGTAAGGACAACACGCGACAGACACTTAGTACTACTTAAGTTTAAAAAGTCCGAACGAATTGGGTCGAAAAATGAGTAACAGTAAACTCAGTATGTTTATATGATCAGAAGGTTTTACGTATACTGTTACCAGACTATTGTTTTAAAGCGGTTTCTTAAAATTGGAAAGTGAATGGGACAGAAACAGCAACGCTGCGTACTCATACTTTTGACGTTAAAAATGGTTTTTAAATTTTTGTTGCTAGTTGTGAAATTTATACAGCCTCAAAGTATCACATCGCGCATTCAGCCGATAAACAAATTCCTATCAATCATGAGAGCAAAAACATCAGCACTTTCACAATGTGATGATTATCACACTGAATATCCAGCTACAGGATGAGTCAGGTAAGGTGAACTGCAGCAATTAAAAACTCTCGTGTCAGACACCACGGTCGCACTTCTCTCCCATTGAGGAATGATCACGACAGAATCTGGCGTCACGACTGTCCACTTGTTTCTCGGTTGAGATCGAAATAGCAGCGTGGAATCGGTTTTTATTCAAGGATATTGGCGATCGAGGAAAAGTATTTTTCTACTTCATAATTTCGAATTCGATATCTCCGGAGCTCGAGTTCACTTGCTACCGCAAACAAGAAATTCCAGCAAAATAGACCATGGTACGTTGCCATTGACTGCATTTGTCACTTCCTTTAGAATAGGGTTGTTGCTTCTCCTCAGAAGCTTGAAAAAACTCTAAAGCTCTAAAGCAT